TGCATGGGGCTTCAAGTTGAAGCAAAAAAGTCTTTTGATATACAAAATAATTAAAATATGATTCTTATATCAAAAGATCATGAATTTGATTCTTATTAATATTTTTTTAATGGAATCTATCACAAATGGTCTTAGGCAGTTTATTATCTCTCTTGTATAGTTTACAGATTATTATAGAAGAGCGAAATTTTTCTTGTATACTATCAAATAGTAATTGTGATTTTTCTCATTGTCTATTAAAAACAAAAAAACAAAAAAAACAAAAAAAAAAAAAAAAAACTTCATAAATACTGCTGGCCTCTGCCCCATTATGAGATAGATCCTGATTTGGATCCATCATGCCTTGGAAGTTTTATAACACTTTAAATTGTCTAACCACCTAACCTACCCTTCATTATCATCCATTCATCCTCCATTGGTCTTTATATTCCATTCAAGACTTGCTTAAACAACTTCATGATTCTTTTGAGCTTGAGTTTTGATTAAATTTTACTCCGTAATTAAGAGACATCTTCTAATATATGTTGATTTAATTATATAGTTCAAACCCCTAAACCTTACTCAAGCAGTACCAAACTACTTTCACCAACCGCACTATTATCACCAGATCCTTACTGATCACTTAGCTGACATTTTGATGACTGAAAGAGTAAACCGCTACAATTGGTCCAACCGCAATTCATCCAGACAATCTATATATCTAGAGAACAACTAGAGCAAGAGCAATGGACTATCCAAACCGTTCTAACCACTTTTAGACACTGTTTGAGATAGCAGTAGTAGTAAGGTTGGAGCAGTTGGGTCATTTCAACCGTACCTCTCTCACCATATCATCACTCATCCAGTTGAAATTTCGACGGTTGAAACAACGGACCACTACAATTGCTCCAATCGCAATTTATCCAAGTAATTCATATGGAGATCGAACAATGGAGCAATGGCCCCTCAACCACTTTAATCACTCACCAAAACAAACCTTTTAATGAATTTGAAACAATCATTTCATTCTTGTGTTGTTTTACTTTAACCCCGATTTCATAATTTTTTTACTTTTTTTTTTTTAAACAAAAAAGGTAAAAAGTTGTGCAAGAGAAAGGGTAAAATGAATACAAGAAACCGAAAAAATTGCGAAGTGAACGTGGGATGATAGCACGTGAAAGAGGAAGTTTAAAGTCATCCTACGAGTTTGAAGACAAAGAAACTACTGCGGAGCTGTCATTTCTGCTCTGCGATTTTGGTTCTTTTGTTAGGTAATTAAACGGTCGAATTTGCTTTTGCTGGGGACCATCTTGTCTCCTCTGCTTTCTTTGCCATAAACGTCCTCGAATAAGATTCAAGCTTTTATGAACTTCCCAAATGGATAACTTGCAACTTGCAAAAGTTTTCTAGGGTGTACTTGGAAATTTGGAAAATTAGTCAATTTTTATAAAATATTTTTATTTTTAGTGTTTGTTGCATTTCAGAAAATTGTCTTAGTTAGTGTGTTTAGATAATTTTTCAGAAAATAAGTAGAATTGTATTAAAAATTAATATTATTTATTAAAAAAAAGAGTAATTGTTTCATAATATATATATATATATATATATATATATATATATATATATATATATATATGTATGTATGTATGTATATATATAACTGATTTCCGAAGTCGGAAACCAAATAATCTGGTTTCCGACTTCGGAAAAAAAAAAACATCTTATTTTCAACGGAAACTAGTAAATGGTTTCCAATCAACGAAGAAGATGGAGAATATGAAAAAAGTTTCTTTGGATGAAAATGGCTTCCCTTAAAAAAAAAAAAAAATGAAGTGATTTTTTGAAAAAATGTGATTGTTTTTCCTTTGACCGGAAATCAATTTCTGTTGACCATCATTTTCCCTCCTTACCAAATCCTAGAAATTCGAAAAAAGATTTTTCAGGAATCATTTTTCGGGTTTTCAAACACAACCTTAACTTATCCCATGAAATGGCTTTTATCTTATTCAATTAATTCACAAGTAATAAATATGTAAATTTTGACATTCAAAAATAAATATGTAATTTTTGTTTAATGTATTCAATTGTGGGTTTTTGTCTGACCACTTGGCAGGAAGAAAAAAAAAAAAAAAAGTAGTTGGCAACCACCCAACGCTCGCAGCAAGCAAAAATTGTAATGCCACACACACAAGCAAAAACTCAAAATAGTAGTATATCTTGGATTTTTGTCTCTCTGCTTTCTCCTAAGTTATGCCCCACACATACACAAGCAAAAAATCCAACAAAACCCATTGTTGGAGACGCTCATAAATTAACTTGATCGAAATTTTATAACTGAATAGTAAAAAAATTTGATATAATTTTAATCACAAATATGAATGCACATTTATGTATTATCAAATATACTCTCTAGTTTTATTCAGTATATTTACAATTCTATGTAGTACACTTTTAACGATAAAAATTGTAATATTTATCAAAATGTTATCATATTTTTCACTTTTTCCTTTGCGTTATAATAGTTGATTTTCTTAGATTGTCAACTAGCATTTGTTCATTTTTTTTACATGAAAACTTACTCTCACTTAATCTTATATAGAGAGATTGTGAAGGCATAAAACTAGGCTAATACTCTAATATATAGCCTAGTAACTCACTAAACCCAATATTTTATATAATAATATAATAAATTTAATTATGTATAGTCATTAGACATTCCATATTAATTAGTTCACCATATTAATTAATGTTATGTATTTATGCTAGGATTTTTAGTATATGAAACAATCCACCAAAATCAATAGGTTTAATTTCCTTTAATTTATAACAAAAATTGTCAACTTACAAGTCGCAAGTAATATTAATAAATTAATATAAAAAGTGTAACATTTATAAATCACCAATTGAATTGTGTTAAAAGAGTGCACATATGACATACCACGTTTCTATTGCTACACTATCCATGAAATCTAATATACTTTTTTGTGCACATCTTCAATACATCTAAAAGAAATAATAGATGTTATATATTAAATTGAAAATATTTTATCTAATTGATGGGATAATTGAGACACCAGTGAGTTGAGTTCAACCCATTGCATATACTTGTTACATCTAAATAGTCTAATTAATACTGAACAATAGTATACGAGAGATCTGACCTCGCATAAGAGCGGAAGCGTAGTCGTGTTGATCTCATCTCCAGCCACAGTTGATGTTCCTGTTGTGTTGCCTCTTAACGGTAGACCGTTAGCCATTATTTACCTCATACCTGGCTCAGAACCCTAGATGGTGTATTAGTGTCTACTGATCAGTATGAGTACCGTAACTGAATGTGCTATATCATCAATCATCCTGTATCTCATCAATCCAGGATTATATTAGGCACAGAGTCTGGTTGACTAACAACTTCTAGTTATTTAATCCAACCAAATCACTTAATAAGCCTAGTCAACTTGCACCACTTAATTAAGACCCTAATATATAATATATAATATATATTATTAGGGAAAATCTTACAATACTTACCCGAGGATGTAATGAACCGGCACACTATTTCTTGTATATATCATTATATATAATCTATGCTCTTGTCTTACATTATCTAAATTAGAGTTAATTCTATTTTTGGTCCTAGAATTATAGGTGACAATTCACTTTTAGTTCTTTTTTTTTTTTTTTTTTTTATCAAAACATCACTTTTTGGTCCTAGTATTATTGTGACATGATCAATTTTGGTCCTCTATCAACAAAATCATTGAAATAGCGTTAAATTGAATGACATTTTGAACTTTTTTGATAAAGGACCAGAATTGATCATGTCACAATAATATTAGGACAAAAAAAAAATTATATTTTGATAAAAATGAACTAAAAATAGATTGTCACCTATAAATATAGGACCAAAAATGGAATTAAGTCATCTAAATTAATACCGCCACTAATATACCATGCTTTATGTGATTAAATTACAAAGTTTTTGACACAAAATTTGAACTACCACTACTAACTAAAAATAGAGTAGCATAACTAGAAAGTCTCTCTCATCTATAATATATTACAAAATACAATAAATACAATTGTCGGTAATAATTCCGTTGGTTATTAATTAAAATTGGATTAACGTCTCTAGCATGCAACATGCATGCTTGCTTGTGTCACATTCAAAAATAAAAGACTTGCCTTATAAGCTATGCATCGTACATACATACATGTAGTCGGTAGACAAGGACATTCCACCTCCAAAGAGTAATTAAAACAGATCCTCCATTTTCGAATCATTGCATTTGTCGTCCTCATCATCATCATCATCATCATCATCATTATTATTATTATTATTATTATTATTATTATTATTATTATTATTATTATTATTATTATTTGATAATGAGCGAAAACGTATCCACTGTCATTATCTGAGAATGTACATTATGTAAGGGTCCGTTTGGAAAGCTGGAAAATGACTTCTGAAAAATGTTTTCTGGAAAATGAGTCATTTTTCGGAAAACATTTTCCTTTCCCGTGTTTGGTTGCATTCTGGAAAATTGTTTTTGTTTGTTTGGTTCATTTTCTGGAAAATGAGTATAATTGTATAATTAAACATTTTAATTATTTTATTTAGAATATTACAACATGTATAATAATATATAATAATAATTTTAAGGGGAAGTGTCAAATATGCCCATCTACTATTGTCAAATGCTCAATTCCCACCACGAACTAAATTAAAGGCTAATTAACAATACTTACCTGCTAAATTTGTTCAATTGACTTTTTTTGCAGGTCGCTAACAAGTTACCAATCGAATTATTATAAAAGTAATTAAAAATAATTTAAAAATTAAAAAAAAAACGGAATTTCACAAGCCTAATGACTTTTATTATTAATTTTAGTTTTTTTTTTGTTTTATCCTAAGTTAATATTATTTGAGGCTAATGGTAGAAATTCCCTCTCGCTGGTTCGCGAGTTCTCTCTCTACTTTTCTGAGTTTTTCATCTCTGTGAGTTCTTCTTTTTGTTAACATGGATCCCACACCAGTTGTTCAATCCTTAGCCAACTTGACGTTTGCTGATCTCGATGACGATGTTTCTCAGCGACACCTTCAGAATGTTTCTCTGGATCCGGAGGCCGATGAAGTGGTCTACTATGCTGTGGGACGATTAGTGACAGAGAAACCTGTGAAGTTTCTCTTTCTCCGTGATACTTTGGCAACGATCTGGCGTCCTGCGATGGGTATGAATATTGATGAGTTGGCAACCCGCAGGTATTTGTTCAAGTTCTACCATGAGGCTGATATATCTAGGATCATTAATGATGGCCCGTGGACGTTTGATCAGAGTTTACTCCTTCTCAAGCGCCTATCTGATACAGAAGATCCTTTAGACATTGATCTGAATACTGCTGAGTTTTGGGTCCAAGTCCATGGACTACCACCTGGGTTCCGTTCGGAAGCTGTGCTGCGAGGCGTTGGCGATTTCATTGGTGTTGTCTGCCATTGTGATGAACGTAACTTTGATGGCTCTACGAGATCTTTCTTCAGGATTCGTATTACCATCGATGTTACTAAACCCCTGAAGAAAGGCATGCGGCTGAAAAAAGAGGATGGTGATTGGATTCAGATTGAATTCCGTTATGAACGCCTACCCACCTTCTGTTTCATCTGTGGATTATTGGGGCATGGTGATAAGTTTTGCAATAGAAGGGTGCAAGGTTGGGATCCTCTGTCTGAGAAAACTTATGGATCTGAGCTTCGCGCTGGGTTTCGGCGTAATATTCCGACGGGCGGGAATAGATGGTTGGCGCCGAACACGGCGGCAGAGAGGCGTAGCTGGAACGCGCCGGGAAGAGAGGCTGCCGCGGATTGGAAAGGGAAATCTCCACAAAATCAGCGTAATGATACTCCAGCCAAAAATAATCAGCACAATAATACTGATGGCATAAATCATGCACCGGTTATGGAAATAAATCATGCAACCAATTGTGAAAATAAACAAGATGGTGCGTCTGACGTGGAGGATGGTCTTTTAATCTTAGAACAAAAAAGACGTCGCGTTGAGCCCCATGCAGATGATAATGCTATTATGGTTGTTCCAATGGAGTATGAAAATTCCGGTTCAAAAAACTTGCTGTTGGCGGTGCTGGTACGTCCCAGTCCCGCCCATCTCAATGAGTACTTTATCTTGGAACTGTCGCGGACTTGGCAATTCACAGACAGTTCAGGAAGTTATGGCTTTAGAAGCCAAAAATAAGCCAACTTTTATTTTTCTTATGGAAACGAAAGTTAGAAGACAACCTGCTGAGAGTTTGAAATTGAAGTTGCATTTTGATGGTTTGTTTTATGTGGATGGAGGTGGTTTGAGTGGAGGATTGGCTCTATTCTGGAAGGATAGAGGTATTGCCCAATTAATCAGCTATTCGAAAAATCATATTGATATTCAGGTATCTTTGCCTAACATTTCACCGTGGAGGTTGACCTGTTTCTACGGCTTCCCGGATAGACAGGATCGGCAGCGTTCATGGGACTTGTTACGTAATCTGCATGGAAAATCCAATCTCCCTTGGTTGGTCATTGGTGACTTCAATGAGATTACAGTTTCGGTTGGTCATTGGTGACTTCAATGAGATTACAGTTTCCACTGAAAAACGGGGAATTCACAATCACCCTTCTCATCTCATGACTAGTTTTAACAATGCTCTAGATGATTGCCACCTATTTGATCTTGGAATGAAAGGTCGACCCTTCACTTGGGAGAAAAGTAAAGGTACTATCAATTGGGTAGAAGAGCGTCTTGATAGAGCTGTTGCAGGTGCGGACTGGTGCTTATTATTTGAGCATGCGACAGTGTATAATAAGGAGGTGTTAAACTCGGACCACACGGCGATTTTCCTCGACCTAGAAAAACCAAAAATCCGAGCTCAACGGCGACGATTCATGTTTGAAAATGCATGGCTCCGTGATGTAGGTTGCGGGGAAATTGTAAATGAAGCTTGGGAAAACTCTGTTGGAGAGACCATTCCCAGTCGGCTAGACTACTGTGGTGAGCAATTAAGAAGATGGGGTGGTGACTTGGGAAAACGCCTCACTCGGGAGATTGAAACTACACAAAAGCGCATCAATTTGCTTAGGGGTCGTACAGACCACTCATCTCTGGCCATGGTTCGAGAACTGGATAATAAAATGCGCCAACTTTATAGCCAACAAAATATCTTTTGGCGTCAACATGCCAAACAGTATTGGTTGACGCAAGGGGATCGAAATACAAAATTTTTTCACTGTTATGCGACTTCCCGAAAGAAAAAGAACACTGTTGTACGATTGAAAAATGAGGCCGGTATTTGGACAGAAGGTACATCTCTACTACTGTTGGCTAAGGATTATTTTTGCAATATTTTTCACACGGCAGGGAGTATGCAGTCTTCCTATATTGATAGGTTGCACCCTAAAATCAGTGATGAAGACAATGATAGATTGCTACAACCATTCACGCCTGATGAAGTTAAAGAAGCAATATTTTCTATGGCCCCGGATAAATCTCCGGGTCCGGACGGGTTTAATCCGGGTTTTTTCCAACACTTTTGGGGAAGCATTGGTAATGATATTACTAATTTTGTGTTACACTGCCTCCATTCAAGAACGCTACCAGAGGGAATGAATGATGCCTACATTACTTTGGTCCCCAAGAAAACGCTGCCTATGAGCATGGGTGATTTGAGACCAATCGCGCTCTGTAATGTCACCTATAAAATCCTTGCTAAAATGGTGGCGAATCGGCTTAAGGTGGTACTTGAAAAAACCATTTCTGATTCTCAAAGCGCTTTTATTCCGGGCCGGTTAATAACGGATAACGTCCTTATTGCTTCTGAAGTCATCCATTACTTAAACCGGAAGAGGGAAGGCAAGACGGGATGGTGCGCTCTAAAGCTTGACATGGCCAAGGCCTATGACAAGATGGAGTGGGATTACCTTCGTGCTATTATGGAAAAAATGGGCTTTCATACTCGATGGATTGAACTGATAATGCTTTGTGTATCTACAGTCCGCTACAAGGTTAATATGAACGGGTCTCTCACAGATTACATCATTCCCACGAGAGGATTGCGCCAAGGAGATCCCCTCTCCCCATACCTCTTTATTCTTTGCGCGGAAGGTTTGTCTCATTTGTTGTCACAATCAGTCTATGATGGCCGGATATCCCCATGTATTGTGGCAAGAGGAGCCCCAGGTATTTCTCATCTCTTTTTTGCGGATGACAGTCTCCTATTTTTTAAGTCATCGGTGCATGAGGCGAATGTGGTTAGGGATTGCTTAAAGGCTTATGAATCTATGTCTGGCCAAACTGTCAACTTCACTAAGTCATGTATTGTTTTCAGTAAAAATGTTGACAGCCATAACAAAATTGCAGTAGCTTCCACCTTGGGGGTAACTCAAGCAGATAGTATTGGAAAATATTTGGGCCTTCCTTTGGGTATTGGCAGAAACCGGAAGGAAGTCTTCTCTTTTATAGAGGCTAAGCTTAAACAACGGTTAGATGGGTGGTCCAAAAGGATTTTATCTAGAGCTGGTAAAGAAGTGTTACTGAAGAGTGTGGCTCAATCCCTACCTACATACACTATGAGTTTGTATTACCTCCCTATCACCTTCTGTGAGCACATTGAACGAATGATGAATAAATATTGGTGGCTATCAAAGTCTAGTAATGGGGGTGGTGTGCGTTGGTTAGCTTGGAATCGCATGACATTTGCAAAATCTGAGGGTGGTCTAGGCTTTAAAAACCTCAACAAATTTAATATTGCTTTACTGGCAAAGCAGGGTTGGAGGATTCTTTGTAATCCGTTGTCTATTGTTGCCCGTCTTTATAAAGCCCGTTATTTTTCTGACACAGATTTTCTAAAAGCTAAGTTGGGGTCTAATCCTAGCTACAGTTGGCGCTCCATTCTTGCTGGCGTAGATGTTTTGAGGCGTGGCTGTTTTCGGCGCATTGGTGATGGCAGGGCAACAAAAATCTGGCACCATCCTTGGCTACCAGATAAGGACCATCCATATGTCCAGACTCCAATCTCAGATGAACTTGGTGAGGCAGTAGTTGGATCTCTTATTGATCATACTACAGGGGATTGGAATTCTAACATGCTTACTACCCTATTCCTGCCTCGGGATGTAGAACTCATTAAATCAATACCTATTTCGGTGGATTTTGCAGACAAGTGGAGTTGGCGAGGAGACATTCGAGGACTCTATTCTGTTCGAAATGGTTATAGGATGCTGAGAGAAGATACAACGACGCCACCTACTCCATTTACAGCCTGGAAAGCTTTATGGAAAACAAAGCTCCCCCCAAAGGTGTTAAACTTTGCATGGCGATGTGCCAGAAATGTATTACCTTCGGTTGTGTCGTTAGCTACTAGAGGTGTCGTGGTGGATCCCTGTTGTCCCATTTGTCTCGCCGGTCCTGAAACCATGAATCATATCTTCTTTGAGTGTTCAGAGGTAAAGGATGTTTGGCTTGGCACGTTAGACCTCTCACTACAAGCTCAAGTAAGTTTTGAATTGTGGCTCTCCTCCCTCTTTGAACAATCTGATGCCGCAAAAATCTGCAAAAGTCTAGCGATATGCTGGAATGTGTGGAAAAGACGCAACGAATGGGTTTGGAATAGGAGGCTGTGGTCGATGGAAATGCTGAAGCAATTGGTGGATAGTTGCGTGTTGGAATGGCAGTCGTACAGTGCAGCCTCATCCCCCATAATCAGCAATCATACGACATTGGGTAGCAGTTTAGTAGTTCCGCCTCTGACTTGGGTAGTGAAGGTGGATGCATCTCTACAGTAGAATGGTGATATTGGTTTCTACGGGGTTGTGGTCTTTGATGATGGCGGGAGATATGTGGCAGCCAAAAGTGGTCCTATCCGCTGTTTGAAGGACCCCCATCTTGCTGAAGCCATGGCTATCAAGGAAGCTCTATCTTGGATACTCTCACAAGGCTGGCGAAAGGTTATTATCCATTCGGATTGTCAGATGGTTTGCAGGTTTATTAATCATGATCTCCCGGATTCCTCATATGCAGGCAATATTATCAATCAATGCCGGGTTCTAAAACGACACTTTGAAGCAGTGTCTATTGAGTTTATCTCTCGATCAGCGAACACATGTGCTCATGCTTTAGCTAGAGCTGCTAATGTTCATTCTGGTCATGTTACTTGGTTTTCTTCGATTCCTCCATGTATTGAACAATTTATTGTTTAAGTTTGAATAAAGTCGCTCTTTTCAAAAAAAAAAAAGTTAATATTATTTAACTAGTCCATTAAGTCTAATGACTTTTTAGCCACAATTAATTGTTTTTCCCTCCGTAGTCAACAACGATTACGAACGAAAAAAGAGAGATCATGAGCGTTCTTCGGCCATGGTAGCGACTTGCATTGGTTATGAAATTCCGTTTTTTTTAATTATTTTAAAATTGGTTTTTTAATAATTGGATTGGTAACCTGTTAGCAACCTGCAAAAAAGTCAATTGAACAAATTTAGCAGGTAAGTGTGGTTAATTAGCCTTTAGTTTAGTTCGTGGTGGCAATTGAGCACTTGCAGTAGTAGATGAGCCTATTTGACACTTCTCCCTAATTTTAAATATAAAAAAAAAATAACTAATAATATATATATCAAAAATATTATGGTGGTGGTGGTGGTGTAGTGGTAGTGGTAGTGGTGTTATTTGTTATATAATAATAATAATAATAATAATAATAATAATAACTGCTGGTGGTATGACGGTGGTGGCAGTGGTGGTGGTGGCGGCAGTGGTTGCGGTGGTATGGTGGTGGTGGTGGCAGCGACGGTGGTGGTGGTGTGATGGTGGTAGTGTGGTGGTGGTGGCGGTGGTTGCGGTGGTATGGTGGTGGCGGTGGCGGTGGTATGGTGGTGGTGGCGACGACGGTGGTTGTGGTGGTATGGTGGTGGTGGTGGCGGCGGTGGTGGTTGCGGTGGTGGTGGCGGCGACGGTGGTTGCGGCGACGGCGGTGGTAGTGGTGGTGGTGTGATGGTGGTGGTGTGGTGGCGGTGGTATGGTGGTGGTGGTGGTAGCGGTGGTGGTGGTATGGTGTTGATGGTGTTGGTGGTGATAGTGGTTGCGGTGGTATGGTGGTGGTGGTGGTGGTATGGTGGCGGTGGTTGTGGTGGTATAGTGGTGGTGGCAGCGGCAGTAGTGGTGGTGATGGTGGTAGTGAGGTGGTGGTGGTATGGTGTTGATGATGTTGGTGTAAAAGTTGGAAAATGACTTCCCCCAAAAAATGGGAAGTCATTTTCCTCCAAAACAAGCATATTTTTCAAAGTCAACGAAAAATGATTTCCATTGACTTGATTTTCCAGGCACATCCAAACAATGGAAACTTGGAAAATGATTTCCAGAACTTATTTTCCAGGTTTCCAAACACACCCTAAATTTTACTTTTGTATAATAATTAGCAAACCAGTCAAATCACACTAAGAAAACTGTGTGCAATGCAATAAGCTTGACAAAGAAAGTATTAACAATAATTACACTCGTAACTTTTTTGGTATAAGAATCATGTTTCACTCACTTATCTACACCTTTTGGAGCTTGCATTTGTTATTTAAATTTATAGCTCAAACAATACATGTTGTTGATGATGTTAAAGAAGTAGCCTCCGCTATGACCGGGGTTGACTTCTGTTTTGCTAAGCGATATGCTAATCGTGCTGCCCACTTTATAGCCAGGGAAGCCGTTTCTGAGTCAGGTTGCGGGGAGTGGTTTGATGATCATCCCCCCTATCTTGTTGATTGTCTTCTCGCTGATTTAATGAATTAATTTCTTATTTCAAAAAAAAAAAAAAAAATACATGTTGTTGTTGTTGTTGCTACAACTTTTTTTTGTAAGTACTAATATCTAGTTCTAGAGTACGTTACTTTTTTTTTTTCTCTTCGATAATTGTTTCTATTTGATTTTTTATTGTACTTGTTCAATTAGTCATATTTTGCATTTTAGTTTCTATCGGTGAAGAATTTGTCCAATATGGAATTTGAATTTTTTGAATTTGACTAAAAGATTCATTAATTATATATCTGGTTGCTTATTCTAAAATCTTTTTCTTTTTTCATTCCACTTATTTCTCTCGATCTAAATAATAAAATTGGTCTATCCTTGGAGGGGTCTTTTTCTATAAACGGAAGATTTTGGTTTGTTGTTCTTGTTTCTTTTGAAACTTTTTAAAATAATTTGATTTAAAAAAAAAAAAAAAAAAAAAAAAAAAAAAAAAAAAAAAAAAAACTCTTTCAACTGTAACCTTTTCATATTTTCTAATTTTTAGTAGTAGTAGTAAACGGAAGATTTAGTTTGTTGTTCTTGTTTCTTTTGAAACTTTTTAAAATAATTAGATTTTTTTAAAAAAAATTCTTTCAGCTGTAACCTTTTCATATTTTTCAATTTTTAGTAGTAATAGTAAACAATTTGAGGATCAAATTGGTTGAAATTGAAAACTAGGGGCTACATTGACAGTTAGGAAACAATTGAGGGATCAAAATGGTGATTTTTCCTTATCATTATTATTATTGTTATTGTTATTGTTGTTGATGTTGATGTTGTTGTTATTGTTATGGGAACTTCTATATATGGTGTGGATCGGCAAATCGTGCCAACTAAAACGTGATAGCATTTGTGTAATACTTTGGCACTACTATAAACCATTTTTATAATATCAACGTACAATTTATGATTATACATGAAACAATTTGGCATGGAATGGTTTCAAATAATACCATGTGCAATTATCCTCTAGTATTATTGGAAAGGTGGAATAATATTCAATAATACCATGTATAGCTTATGTTTATACTGAGTATTATTTGAAACCGTTTAAAATTATATTATGCACAATACCTTGTATTATTGAAAATGGTGTCCATAGTACCAATTAAGTACAATCAAATATTAGAAATCGACTGTGTGGTCGAGTAACATAATTGTGGTTTCAAATTTTAGTAGGAGTATTGACTCTTTGTGTTTCAGTAGGTTGAGAAAGTATGTATAAACATATTCTATATTATAAGTTATAACATAGTCAATAGTACTCAAAAAAAAAAAAAAATCACTTCAATATTACATAATGTCACAATATTTTAGTTACCACTACAATTGATCGACATATTAAAATTTTTAATTATTATTATTATTGTTGTTGATGCATGATATAACTTATAACCAAATTAAACAAATATAACCCATCAATTGTAAAATTCTTGTCTTCCTTAATTTCAACTCCTCAATTCAACATATCATATTTGATTTGACAGTTACTAATTACAAGTTCGGACTCGCCTTATAACAAATTATTGATCAACGTTTTGAGGATGTTAAATTATATTCATAATAATTTTAAATTTATAAATGAAGAATGAATCAATGATTAATTTAACTTAGTCATTTTTTTCTTGCAATATTAGCACCGTAGTAGCAAGAGTGCTAACATAAAGTAATAGGAAATCAATAATTAATGAGCATTCGATTCAAGTCTAATACAATTAATGCAAGAGTAAAAGTTAGAAGTTTAGTGAATTTGAGGTAATAATAATCAAGATTCAAATGTAAGTTTATTGAATAAAAATATATATAAATATAGAGATATCAATTAATTACACTATTCAAAACTCGATATTGATAAGAGTGTAAATTCACATAGTTCATTAATGAATTTTGTCATGGGATTATGTATATTTCCCATGTTGATGCAAAGTGCAACTACTTCGGGACTCAAAGAGTGTTGCCACTAGACGGATAGCTTAATTCTCAGGGCCTTTTGGTCCCTCCCTTTTATCCAAAAAAAAAAAGTAAAAAAAAGTAAAAAAAAAAAGTGCAATTACTTGTGAATGGATCCTATAATAGCTTGGTGTCATGTTTCTCATATGCATCCTTAAATTTCATCAATCTCTTATGTTAATTATTATCTTTGTTGATTACAACCTTTTTTCTCCTAATCAACAAAGTAAGATATACATTGAAACTAATCATGTTTGTATCAAGTAAAACTTTAAGATAATAAAGCACTCCCTTATAAGTTTGCTAAAAGAATTTCGCATCATCTTATTCATGTAGAAATTACTTCACGAGATAGAGTTCTATGTGACTTTAACTCAAGTAATTGGATATTTGATAAACAATAACAATTAATTTTAAAAAATAAAATAATGATTGAGTTATTTCTAGTTTGATTATAATATTATTGGATTGTTAGTACATTTGGTCATTATTTATTATTTATGTCATATTTGATACACAATTTTGTATTTATATCACATTTAATACTTTTGACCAAATTTTGATGAGAAAGTGTCAAACTTCAATTGACACCACAATCCCAATTTCTAATCATATTAGCAGCCCGGAAAAGATTACTAAGTGAGTGGAATATAATTATCGTACACGAAAGTTACAAATTCAATTCTTGCCAACACACTCTAATTAGTCAAGCTCATCGTATAAAATTTTATTACTGTAGTTAACCTATCATGTGTATTTGCGAATTATTACATGTGATTGTATTCATTTAGTGCAAATGCACATTCAACTAGTGGATGTGAAAAATCATTAAAAATGTATAATTTTGAATGGTAGATGTGATGTAGGCAAATTATGTTGGGCAACTGTGTGCACCATACATGGTACATACGGTTGCATAAACGACGTCGTTTTGACGTCCGATTTTAAAAAAAATATCAGTTTCGGTTGTTGTTAACGGCGTTATGTTGTGCATAATTTGAACTATATATCTTGAATGAATGAACTATATATACAGAATGAATGAACTATATATCCAGAATGAATG